GGAAAGATATTAGAACTCTTAGAAATGATAAGCAGAGGGTTGAAGCCAAGGAATTCAGTCCGCAACACCAATTAGGAGAAGCTCTATAAAAGACCATTTTGCCCCTCAGATTTGTGACTAAATGTTGGATTATTTTTTTCCGGCCAAATTTGACCGGCAATTTGGCCGAAGTGACCAAAATTGACAAAAATTACATACTCAAGGTACTAAATTGACACTTTTGAAAGTTAGGTGCTGAAATTAACAAGGCTCCTATAGTCGTGTGACAAAAATTGAAATTTTCTCTATCCAGAATTAATGAACTATATATCCACATCGGTTACTGGTACTCTGTTTTGGCTTATAGAAGTTCGCTGCGTCTGTGTATTCAGAATGAATGAACTATATATTTAGAATTAATGAACTATAAATTCAGAATTAGTGAACTATATATCCAGAATTAATGAACTATATATCCAGAATTAGTGAACTATATATCCAGAATTAATGAACTATATATCCAGAATTAGTGAACTATATATCCATAATTAATGAACTATATATCCAGAATTAGTGAATTATATATCCACACCGGTTACTGGTACTCTGTTTTGGCTTATGGCAATTCGCTGCATCTGTGTATTCAGAATGAATAAACTATATATTCAGAATTAATGAACTATAAATTCAGAATTAGTGAACTATATATCCATAAAATGCATAATACCTGAAGAAGAAATAGACCTCAGTTGACAATGGTGAAAAAAAAAATTGATTGGTGAAGTTAAACAGTGCCACTAACGACACCGTTACTCCACCATAGTGAAACGGCGGCGTTCGCAATCGTGTGCACCATGCATAGTGCACACAGTTGCACAACATAACGATTGCTCTTTAGGTACTATAGAAGTTATCTTTAATTTCATCTTTTGGTTTAATTTTTTTATTTATTTTATGTAAAAGCAATATAAAAAATAAAACACAAACACTGCTGTACCATAATGATTCGAATCCTTACAAATTGAGAGTATATGTACTAAGCAAAGTACTATATATGATATTTAAATATACATTTTTCCTAGCAGCGAAGTAAATTTCTAGTACTACACATTAATCATGGCATCATGCCTAAATGTGTGTGTGTTTTTTTAATATTATGTTAAAACAAAATTTGTACTCAAAGTAGATAAGAGGATGAGCAAATTGGAACAAAATGACCAACTTTCCAAACCAACCAAACCTAACATCAATTCCATCCTCTTAATAATTTTTATCATCTGTATTGAATTGGAAAGAGACTTGGGGAGTACCAGAGCTAAACTATGCATATATTTTTTTTCTTGCCACAGCTAACACGTAACTGATTGAGTCAAGTAGTTGGTTTTGGACCCATGAAAACACCCATTATTATTGAAATTTATATTATGGTTGAGATTATGGACCAATAATGGTATCCTCTTCTATTCTTTTGGGGGTAACAAGCCCATAGCCACTACTCGAGGGTCTACACGGAGTAAATCATGCCTTATGATTCTAGTTATTAAATGACCACAAGAAGGTATACAAGCCTAGGTTATTCATAGTTGACCGACTCAAATCAAGAAGGCTAATAGGCCGTATTATGTTCATAGCTGCCTTTTTTTTTTTGTCAAACCACGAGGTGTCCTGAGCAGACCCTAATTGTAGGAGACACCTTTAAGCCCGTACCATACTCACTTACTGAGACTAATCCCCGTTCGTATCGAGCCGGCCCAATTAAGGAACAAAGTGCTGGTCAGATTGCCTTTTTTTGTTCAAAAAAGTGTGCTTTCAAGAAAAAGGCATGTTAGGGTTGATATGCATCTCTCACAAATCCCATTTAGATTAGAGTGCAGTGCAGTGCAGTGCAGTGCATGCCAAGACCTATTCAACAAGATTTCTGTTTATTACCAGTGGACCTCACATTCATTGCTAAATTGCTTTTATGACGCCATGCATATCTTCCAAACTTTCCCTCTACCAACTCAAAACCACTCCGATCTTTTTCAACACTCGCCAGACTTTTGAGGTATGCCCTGATTCCTCTGACAAGAAAATGAGAAAAGAATTCATATCATACAATATAATGTTGCAGAATTGCATGTTCAGTGTTATATTTCTTCATTATGTGTTTCTTTGACTGTGTAAAAGGTCTGTTCATTCAGTGCTGAAGCAATTTATATTAGTCTTTTTCTTGCTTTTCCTCTGCTTTATCTATGAGAAAAAGTTTCAAGTAGTAGGCAAGTGTTCATATTCTCTGTAAGAAAAACCTCAGCTACTTGAAAGAAGGACCGGAGCTACAATGCAGAGGGCTCCACCACCACCAGAAGAGTTTGCTCTGAAGCAAACAGCCCCAAAGATTGCAGGGTCAGGGGTGATCACAGGTGACAAGGTCACCTGTGCTTATGATCTAGTTGAACAGATGGAATATCTCTACGTTCGGGTCGTCAAAGCCAAGGAATTGCCCCCAAAGGATGTGAGCGGGAGCTGCGATCCATACGTGGAGGTGAAGGTGGGGAACTACAAGGGAGTAACAAAGCATTTCCAGAAGAAATCGAACCCGGAATGGGACCATGTGTTTGCCTTCTCCCAGGACAGGCTGCAGGCATCCTTTGTGGAGGTAATTGTGAAGGACAAGGATGTTGTGGTGGATGATTTCATAGGACGGGCGGTGTTCGACATGGTTGATGTCCCGAGACGAATGCCCCCCGACAGCCCCTTAGCCCCCCAGTGGTACCGGCTGGAGGACAAGAAAGGTGAGAAGATCAAGAAAGGGGAGATCATGCTTGCATTGTGGAAAGGGACTCAAGCAGATGAGGCATTCTCTGATGCCTGGCATTCCGATGCTGCTGCCGTGGGGAGGGAAGGCGTTTCGAAGATTCGGGGGAAAGTATACCTCTCCCCAAGGCTATGGTATGTGAGGGTAAATGTGATTGAATGCCAGGATTTAGTTCCACTTGATAAAAACAGGCAAATTGAAGCCTGTGTGAAAGTTGTTCTTGGAAACCAAGCACTGAAAACCAGAATTTCCCCACCCAGAGGACTAAATCCTATGTGGAATGAGGATTTGGTCTTTGTCTCCGCCGACCCATTCGAAGAGCCATTGATTCTAACAGTCGAGGACCGATCAGACATCTTAGGAAAATGCCTGATCCCTCTCCCCACACTCCCAAGAAGGCTAGACAACAAAGCTGTCCTCTCCAAATGGCACAATCTTGAAAAACACCTAATTCAAGAAGGGGAAAAGAAAGAGAAAGAACCCAAATTCTCCAGCAAGATCCATCTCCGTCTCAGCTTGGACGGCGGGTATCACGTCATGGACGAATCCATTCACTACAGCAGCGATTTCCGGCCGACTTCTAAGCTGTTATGGAAATCCAGCATCGGAATTCTGGAGCTGGGGATCATCAGCGCCACCGGACTTTCACCCATGAAAGACGGCCACGGCCATGGCCGGGGAACAACAGACGCCTATTGCGTCGCAAAGTACGGCCCGAAATGGGTCCGAACGAGAACCATCATAGACAACCTGTCGCCGAAATGGAACGAGCAGTATACCTGGGAAGTCTACGATCCCTGCACGGTGATCACCGTCGGCGTGTTCGACAACGGCCATTTACAAGGCGGGAGAGATTCAAGCATCGGAAAAGTAAGAATCCGGTTGTCGACTCTGGAAACTGAAAAGGTTTACACCCATTCGTATCCATTGATTGTGCTGAAACCTTCTGGGGTTCAGAAAATGGGAGAGGTCCAATTAGCCGTCAGATTTTCCTGCACGTCTTATACTAACATGCTGTCGAAATACACGACGCCATTGTTTCCGAAGATGCATTACCTGCATCCATTGTCGATTACGCAACAGGATTACCTGCGATTCCGGACGATCCAGATCGTGTCGAGGCGGCTGGGGAGGGCGGAGCCGCCGCTGAAAGCGGAGGTGGTTGAGTATATGCTTGACGTTGGGTCCCACATCTGGAGCTTGAGGAGGGCTAAGGCGAATTTCTTCAGATTGATGTATGTTGTGAGTCCGATAATGGCGGTCTGGAAATGGTTCGATGAGATCTGCAAGTGGAAGAATCCGGTCACGACGGTTCTGATTCATATCTTGCTTTTCATCCTCGTTCTCTATCCGGAACTCATTCTCCCGACGTTTTTCCTCTACCTCTTCTTCATCGGAATCTGGCATTACCGCCGGAAACCTAGGCACCCTCCGCACATGGACATCCATCTCTCGCACGCTCACGCGGTGACGGCGGACGATTTGGACGAGGAATTCGACTCGTTTCCGACGGGGAGACCGCCGGATAAGGTGAGAATGCGGTACGATCGGCTGAGGAGCGTGGGAGGGAGGATTCAGACGGTGATCGGAGACATGGCGACTCAGGGAGAGAGGTTTCACTCTCTACTCAGCTGGAGAGATCCCCGAGCTTCGGCGTTGTTCTTGACGTTCTGCTTGTTCGCGGCGGTTGTTATGTACGTGACGCCGGTGCAAGTGGTGGCGCTTCTCGCCGGATTGTACGTGCTGAGGCACCCCAAGTTACGGCAAAAAATTCCGCCCATTTCTACTAACTTCTTCAAAAGGCTGCCGGCAAGGGCGGACTGTATGCTCTAATTCATTTGCCAGCTTGCTCGAATTCATTTGTTAGTATAATTTGTCCTCTTGGAGGAGAATTATATCTAGTTGTATGCAATTATGTGAATAAGAAATTCAACATAACTTCGGGCCGGCCCGGGGTGTGGGGAGCCCTTAGGGTTGGGATTCAGCCTTTTGGAATAAAGAAATTCAACGTAACAATTAACCAGGCTTTTACAAACCCAATAGAATAGCTCAAATGACAAATTAGCTCTTTTTATGAAGAAAATTTCAGGATAATCTGAATTCAATTTTCACGGGGACTTGAACCTCCGCGCTCTTTTTTTTTTTTTTTTTTTTTTTTCATGGTGGTGTATACTATGAGACAAAATCTTTTCCTATATTTTTTTTTTTTGAAAACCAAGGCCAACTATATTTCATTAGCCATATCAGGCAAAATAAATGGAGGTGAAACATCCCTCCAAGTGGATCGTGACAAACTAACACTCACATGTTTAGCTAAAGTATGAGCCGCTTGATTCGCGACCCTAGAAATAAAACTAATCTGAGAACCAGGCATAGAAGAAAGCAAACGAATACATGAAAGCAAACTAAAACCAACATAGGAACGAAACGATCTATTACTACTAAGACATGAAACAAAAACTGAGGAATCGCTGTAAACTTTAACCATCGAATAACCGTTATCCTTTAGCCATGAAAGGGCTTCGCACACCGCCATTGTTTCTGCCATAAGGGGGTTGTAAGGACACACCATCGGGCCATTCACCGTAGCTACAAAAACACCATTCTCCCTCACAATGAAGCCAAAAGCAGGCGCATGTTCAGGACCGTGAAAACCAGCATCCACACAGCATGTAATTCCCTGGGACGAAGCTGTCTGCGATTGTCTTGGCTGCCGCGCTGCATTTCCCGCCACACAGTCACTCCACGCAGCCCATCTCGCTGCAAATACCCGGCACAGCACCTGCGGGGTAGGTAACTTCGCCTCCCACACAGCTGAGTTCCTTGCCATCCACAACTCATGAATGAGGCCGCAAATCATACCCTGTGTTTCACGTGAATAACCAGCCGCACCATCCAGCCATAACTCTGCCCATTGCATAAAATCAGAACCATTAATCTGGGGTTTCGGGAGCTGTGAAGCAATCCAAACACGAGAAGCATAATCACAGGTACAGAAAATATGCATAATACTCTCTTCTAACAAACCACAAGCAGGGCAAATATTCATTAAATCCACTCGTCTCTTAATTAAATTATCAAGCGTGGGCAATATATTAGAAAGAGCTCTCCACATTAGATTTTTCCATTTTGGAGGTATGTTTAGCCTCCAAATTCCATTCCAAACAACCGAGCCCTGTGCATGGACTTCCCCAAGCCGCTTATAACCATCCTTAACCGAATAGCAGCCCCGTAAATCCCCTTCCCAGTACCACAAATCATCATGCATCAAATTAACAGGCAACTGCACTATCTGAGACGCAACATGCGGATCAAACAATTGTTGAACATAAGGGATATTCCATGAGCATAAATCAACATCAATAAGATCCGAGACCAACATATTCTGGATTAAACCAGTCTGACTTGCGAGTACAAGAGTCCCCTGAGTACCCGGCAGCCAAGGATGGGACCAGACGTGCGTGGATTTGCCATTTCCAATACGCCGCTTACACCCCGATTTCACCAACTCCTGACTAGCCATTATACTTCGCCAAACATAACTTGGGTTGCCCCCTATCACAGCATCAAAGAAAGAAGTTGTAGGATAATACCTTGCCTTAAAGACCCGGGCTACAAGAGAGTCTGGGCATGTAAGCAATCGCCACCCCTGCTTACCTAGAAGTGCCAAGTTAAACTGATGCAAGCGTTTAAACCCCATGCCATCATACTTCTTAGGCTTACACATTCTGTCCCAGGCATACCAATGGATACCATCCTCCCTGTCATTTCGGCCCCACCAGTATCTGTTCATTAATCTTTCAAGAGAATAACATAAAGTTAGGGGTAACAAAAAGATACTCATTGTGTAAGTAGGCATAGCCTGCGCTACACTCTTCAACAAGACCTCCTTACCAGCCCTGGATAACAAACGCTTGTTCCAAGAACCAAACCTTTGTTTCAGCTTTTGTTCAATATAAGCAAAAACCACCTTCCTATTTCTTCCAATAACCGACGGCAGACCCAGATACTTACCAAAGTCCTCAGCATGGCTTACTCCCAAAGTTTCTGCAACAAGGTCCCTATTATCTCCACTAGTGTTACGGCTGAAAGAGACACTTGACTTATTGAAATTAACCGCCTGCCCAGAGTAAGCCTCATAATGACCAAGACATCTCTTCACCTTCAAGGATTCCTACAGATTAGCTTTAAAGAACAGAAGGCTATCATCTGCAAAGAACAAGTGTGATATTGGTGGAGCCCCCCGGGCCACCCTACAGCCATGAATAAGGCCTTTAGCATGAGAATCCTGTAATAGCAAAGATAACCCTCCGCACATATAATAAAAAGATAAAGAGAAAGGGGGTCACCCTGCCTTAGGCCCCTTGTAGGTAAAATCTCATCAGTTGGGGAACCATTCACCAGGACCCTATACCGTACTGTCTGAACACATAACATAACCAACTGCACCCACCTCTCATCAAATCCCAACCCGAGTAGCATCTGCCTAACAAAAGGCCACTCCATCCTGTCATACGCCTTAGCCATGTCCAGCTTAAGGGTTGCCCATCCGACCTGTCCCAACTGCTTCCTTCTTAGATAATGACCAACCTCGGAAGCAATAAGAATATTGTCTGAAATAAGCCTACTTGGGAGAAAGGCACTCTGTGAGTCAGAAATTAAACCCTCAAGAAGCGGTTTCATTCGGTTAGCTAACATCTTGGCCATAATCTTATATAAAATATTACATAACGCAATAGGCCTAAGGTCAGACACTGACTCCGGATTACACTTCTTTGGAATCAATACAATATTGGCATCATTCAAAGCAAGGGGAAAAGAAGCACGAGACAGACAATCAATAACAAAGTCAGTGAAATCCTTACCAACAACATTCCAGAAGGATTGGTAGAAACCCGGATTCATTCCATCCGGTCCTGGTGATTTGTCTTTCCCCATAGCAAACAATGCAGCCCGCACCTCGTCCGGCTGAAAAGGGCGTAATAGATCATCATTCTGTTGCGGTGTAACGCGGGCATGTAATGTGTCCACATTAAAAGGACCAGGACTTCCTCCTGAAGTGAAAACATTCTTATAATAATCAGCTATCAAAGTACTCAACGCCTGACCCTCATGCCAGGCACCCCCCTCATCTTTCAGCTTCACAATACCGTTCTTCCTCCTTCTGTGTGAGGCATACTTATGAAAAAACTTAGTGTCCAAATCAGCCCCCTGTAACCAGTGCTGCTTAGCCCGTTGTTTCCAGAAAGCCTCTTCCTGAGCCAGAACAGAGCTTAGAGTGCCATCCAGGAGCCTAAAACGTGCCAAGGAGCCTGAATCAAACTTGCCCCGTAGAGTGCCCATCTCCCTCCTTATCTCCTCGATCCGCTTCCCAAACCTATGGTGGCGCTCTCCCCCCCATCTCCGTAACCCCCGGCCACACGACTCAAGCCTAGCCTGTAAGCCCATCCCAGCCGAAACAGACCACTCATCCTCCACCACCGCCCTGCAGCCATCATCCAAAAGCCAAGCATTTTCAAATTTAAAACCACGCGGCCGGATAGATGGCGCTACCCCATAGATATCCAAAAAAAGAGCCGAATGATCCGACAAGTCTGTCTGTAAATTAAACACCCTCGCCCGATCAAAGAGCTCACGCCAGTCAGCACATGTCACCACCCTATCCGACCTCTCCTCCACCCAATCCACTGTCCCCTTAAAGCGTTCCCAAGTAAAAGGATAACCCACCATAGGTAAAGTCATTAGCCCACAATCATCCAGTGCATCCCCAAACCCCTCCAACAAACCATTAGGATGCGGCAACCTACCCCTCTTCTCAGACTGCATAAGAATGTCATTGAAATCCCCTAAAACCACCCAAGGAAGATCAGAAGCACCTTTGAGTGACCTTAAGAAATCCCAAGAAGCTCTCCTTCTATCCCTATTCGGGTAGCCATAAAAACACGTAAGCCTCCAGGGGCGCCCATTCGGCAAAGACACCTCCAAGTCAATATGATTCTGGGAATAGTTCAACAGCCTAGCACAGTTATTTCGACGCCAAAGCAAACAAAGACCACCCTTCCGTCTCACACTATCCACCTTAAAGCACCCCTCAAACCCCAATTTCACACGGAGCCTCTCCGCATGATCCCCCCTACCATCGTCTCCATCAAAAACACAAACTCGGGCTTCTTCCTCGACACAAGGCCCACCACCTCGTGAACTGTCCGTGGATTGCCCAAGCCACGGCAGTTCCAAAATAGGGTACTCATTGAGATTGGCGGGCCTGAATGCCAGGCTCCGCCAAACAAGAAGCATCAGAATCAACACACATACCCTCCATTCCCCCGCCAACCCCACCCTCCGTCCTCTGTCTTTTAGGATCCACTCTTACCCCCACAACCTCCCCCTCAACCCCCACCTCCCTCACCAACCCCGGCTGCCCACCACCACCCTCACCCGTATCATTCTGCCCGCCTACACCCATCCTCGCCGCCCTACCCCTAGCCGCGACCACTGCCGTACCACACTGCCCGAAACCACCATCTCCAAACCCTATCTCCCTCATCCTCTCTTGCCCCAGCTTAAACCACTTCTCGCCCAACACCTTTGCCGGACTGTTACCCCCCGCTCTCAGACTTGGTCCAAAGGGAAACTGCTCCGGTGTTAACAAAGAACGACGAGCCGCTAAGCAGAACTTGTCCGTATGCCCCATAATACCACAAAAAAAGCAAAACATGTGCAACCGCTCGTAACGGAAATTAATCCAAGTCCATGTCCCATCCCTTAAGATCATCTTCATACGTCGTTTTAACGGAGTAGAGACATCATGAGTAATACGTACCCGGTAAAACGCAGTACAATGCCTCTGAAAATTACGCTCATCATACCTTAAGAATACTCCGGCGAAGTCACCAATTCGTTCAAGGACTTTCACCGTACGGAAGCCCGGTGGAATATCGTAAACCTGCAGCCAGAATTCTACGGTATTTAGCACCACCTGCGTCGGGTCTTCACCAGCCTTCAGTTCGTGACATAGGAACGTAGCATTTTCGAACGCCCAGGGGCCCTCATCAACCACCCTTCGCATGTCCGCCTCGTCGAAGAAAGTAAAGAGATACAGGTTAGGGAGCACGTCTGCAATCTCAATCCCCATTAGCGGACGCCAAGCTGAAGCCATCACACGCTTCATTACATCCACCTTCAAATTCCTGTCCGTGAGAAAACGGCCAACTAAAGACCACGTACGGCGTTCCGCAATCTGCACCGTACCGCCGAAAACCTCCTCTTCAAACCGAACCCCCTGCTCCTCATCCTCCAAACGAATGTCCACAGTAGAAGCAACGATAGCCTGAACATCCATCGCAGAAGAGAACGCTGTCTGGTCGCCGATTGCATGCAAGGTAAGCCAAACCCTAGATTCCAGGGAGAATATTTGGGAGAAAAACCCTAGAATTAGGGAGAGAATTTTATTATTATTAAATTATCTTTTCCTATATTATTATAATTGATCGACAAAAATCACTATACAGTATTAAGGATGCGTTTGTTACTGGAGAAAATTTTCATTTTTCAAAAGAAATGAAACTTTAAGAAAATAAAAATAGAAATTGCATTTGCTTATACATCTTTTCAATTTAAAAAATGGAGAACTGAGAATGAAATAATGTACTTTTAGCATATTAAAATTAAAAATATACATTATATTAAGAGAAAGTACATTATTTGAGTTTTCGTTTATTATTTTGTATAATGTTCATTCAGTACATGAATAATGTACTTGTAGTTTATTAAAAATGTTCGGAGTAGTATTTATTATGGTTCACACAACACTATATTGACCATGGTTCACACAATAATTTACCAAAAACCTATGGCAAATTATGTTTGTGGACCTGTGTCCACCTTGCAAGGAGGATCCGAGTTATATTCACAATTTTTGAACTCTGTATTCACAATATTAGAACTGAATATTCACAATTTTAGATCTCAATAAACATAATTACAGAACTCTATATTCACCATTGCATAACTCTATATTCACAAATTTTGAACTCTATATTCATAATTACAAAACTGAATATTTACTCGCTAAGTTGTTTTTAATAATTTTTTTAATGAAAAAATCATTGATTGTGAATATGCAGTTCTAAAATTGTGAATATAAAGTTTTAAAATTGTGAATATAAAGTTTTAAAATTGTGAATATAATCCGTATCCACCTTGCAAGGTGGACCTTGATCCATGGCGTCATATATGGCAAATTATGCCGTGGACTCGTGTCCACAATGCATTGTGGACACGAGTCCAAAACGATGTCGTTTTAAGAGAAAACACGGCTTTCCAGTTAAAAAAAAAAATAATTTTGTCTCGCCGTTAACGGCGTTATTCGTTTGTGGCATTAAGAATGTACAGTTATGAAATTATAAATGTACAGTTATGCAATTATGAATGTACATTTATAGAATTATGAATGTAAATTATGGAATTATGAACACAGAGCTCTGACATTATGAACTTACAATTATGAACATATAGTGATAAAATTATGAACATAGAGCTCTAAAATTGTGAACATAAAGTTTCAAAAATTATGAATTTACAGTTATTGAATTATGAATGTACAGTTACGGAATTATGAATGTACAGTTATGCAATTATGAACACAGAACTCTGACATTATGAACTTACAATTATGAACATATAGTGATAAAATTATGAACATATACTCTTATAACAAAGTGATATGAAATTAATAAAAAAAAATGTGGAAGAGAACGGTGTCACTAACGGCACCGTTACCGTGTCCAGCATGCATGCTGGACACGGGTCCATAGCATAGGCAAATTATGCCCTGGACCCGTGTCCACAGTGAATTGTGGACACGGGCCCAAAACGACGTAGTTAAAAAAAAAAAAATTCGCGCGCGTTTTGCCGTTAACGGCGTTATTTTTTTTTGGATTATGAATGTGCAGTTATGCCGTTATGAATGTACAGTTATGCCGTTATGAATGTACAGTTATGCAATTATGAAATTATGAACACAGAGCTCTAACATTATGAACTTACAATTATGAACATATATAGTGATAAAATTATGACCATGGAGCTTTAAAATTGTGAATATAGAGCTTCGAAGATTATGAATGTACAGTTATGGAGTTATGAATCTACAGTTATGGAGTTATGAATCTACAGTTATGAGATTATGAATCTACAGTTATGAGATTATGAATGTACAGTTATTGATCGAATTATGAACAAAGAGCTCTAATATTATGAACTTACAATTATGAACATATAGTGATAAAATTATGAACATAGAGCTTCGAAAATTATGAATGTACAATTATAGAGTTATGAATGTACAGTTATGGAGTTATGAATGTACAGTTATGGAGTTATGAATGTACAGTTATAGAGTTATGAACGTACAGTTATGGAGTTATGAATGTACAATTATTAATAATATAGTAATAAAATTATGAACATATATTCATATAACGAAGCGGTCTGAAATTTTTTTTTTTAAAAAAAAAAAAAAGAAAAGAAAAGAAAAGAAAAGAGATAACAGTGCCTAACGGCACTGTTACCCGTGTCCAGCAAGCATGCTGGATACGGGTCCAACGCATAACGATTGCATAGCATAACGATTGGTCATATATTCTTCTCCAAATTGGACAGCCCAAACATAATTGAAGCAGTTTAAACCCAATCAGACTTCTAAGTGGCTCATATTTGTTTGGGCTTTATCCAATTCATAGCCCGGCCCATTTTCCCACCCAAACCCTAATTCCCATATCATAGATATGCCTCCATTGAAGCTTATGCATATATTTCTGCGGCATTTAGCTGAACTGCATAAGCTTTCCCTACTCTGACCTCTTGCCGTCAACCATGGTAAAGATCTTCAATATTCCTTACATGTTTCTTAGGTTTAATGCTTTCAATTTTTCCGCTCCCAACTTCTGAAAATGAATTCGAAAATTTCCCCTTTTTGTATTTTGAATGCATGAAAATCTAAAAAATTACAAGGAAAATGATGCAATAAGCGTGTAGTACTTATATTATCAGTGTTCTCTTCATATCTTCATATTGCTATTGGCTTTAGTTTTTTTGTAATAAATATGATTTTATATTGCTCCTTTTTATTTTTTGCTGGTTTTGAGTTTTCATTGTTGAAAATTGTGACCATAACGTTATGAAGCTAATTTTAACGACGGTGTTGTTCTGAGTTCAATAGTTATATTTTTAGTGTTTTAAGTTTCTGGATTCAAGATGTAGTATAATTTGATATAATGTTTCTCCGTTTTATAGGCATTGAATAACTGTTATTGGTTGTTCTGGGTTTGTGATTTACACAGTATTTTTGTATTGTAAATATGTTAATTACTTAATTCTTAAGTTCTACCATACATCACCTCTAGTTGTAAGGTATCTTCATATACTTGTAACTAGTTTTTTTTTTTTTTTTTTTTTTTTGAGATTCTGAACTTTAGAACATAGACAATCAAATCTGAAGATTATAATAGTAAGAATTTAAGGTACTGTACCTAAAATGCATTTTAGAACATTCCACTTTGCTGTTGAGGTCTGATTCCTTGAACAAATTACAAGAATGCCATTCGTCTTGCAAATAGTGTAGTGATTTGGTTGCTTAATTTATTGTTGCATAATCTTATTCTCCAGCGGTGAGGGCTGGAATTGGACAATTCGACATTAGACAAAAGAATAGAGTGGCATTGTTGATGGTTATTGTTTAGTGCAAATTTTCTTTGAATTCTTTCATTTCATCACTATACCTCCAAGTTTTTCTTGTTGTATGAACACATCTGTGTAGTATTCTATATAAAAGCATGAGAATTTCAATTATCTTTCTGAAGTCGAAATCATTTTCTTTGTTTACAAAAAACTAAACAAACAATTTCAAAATTTAATATATGCCATTAAAGTTATAAGATTAGTTTTGTCACAATTGTTTTGTTAGCTTAGTTTCTGAAAGTTTTCTTTTCGGGCTCTTGAAGGTGAACGTTCCAAAGACCAAGAAGACATACTGCAAGTCCAAGGAGTGCAAGAAGCACACCTTGCATAAGGTTACTCAGTACAAAAAAGGAAAGGATAGTCTTGCTGCTCAAGGAAAGCGTCGTTATGATCGCAAGCAATCTGGTTATGGTGGACAGACCAAGCCTGTCTTCCACAAAAAGGTTAGAAGCTTGTAGAGAATAGTTCTACTTTTGTTATAGATATTAAATGGTTTTTAATCTATCACAAAGATATTTGTTGATTGATTTTGCAAAGATAATTGTTGATTATCTTAGTTGTAGTACAAATTCAATCTGGAATTTCATACTAATGACATTATTTTCAATCTGTAACCCAAAATAGGCCAAGACCACAAAGAAGATTGTCTTGAGATTGCAATGCCAGGGATGCAAGCATGTTTCACAACATGCAATCAAGGTTGGTTGATAAAACTATAATTTCTAGTTTTTGTCATTGTCGTTCTTACTATTGGCATTTGGTCACAAATGAATGATTGTTGATGGATTTGCAGCGTTGCAAGCATTTTGAGATTGGTGGAGACAAGAAGGGGAAGGGAACATCTCTCTTTTAAATTGCAAGTTTTGGGAAATCAGATGTTTTTTTTTTCCCCTTTGTGCTATGTCATCATGGTTGTTTAAGTCAAACAATTTAGCTTTGCAGATTTTGTTGGTTCCATTGTAATGGTCAGAGTTTTGTAGTTGACGTTTATCATGATTGTTATTCTATTCTAATTTTGTGGATCTCAAATTCTGTTATTATACTTATGTCTCGTAGTGCTTCAGTGCCAAATTGCTAGTAACATAATAGTACACTGTGAATGGTCAGGCGGCTGAGAGGTGGTGTAGCTTCATCTTTTCTTTTAAATATTGATTGATTGATTGTAGTTGATAGGGGTGTTTGTGTTTGGTAAATAGCCGTTAGAGGATTAGTTATTAGTTGATAGTTGATTATATGCAAAATACTTTTACAAAAAGTTAATTGAAAAAGTTATTTTGAGTAGTTTTTTGAATTTTAGTCTTTTGGAGCAATAAGTTAATTAACCAAATACTTATATTGGTTGTTTAACCAAGTTAAATAACTAATAGTGGTCAAATAAGTCAAAATTGATCGATAGGTTAATTATTTTACCAAACAGGGTTGATATCTCTCTTGTACTAGGATTCCCTCTTCAATTCAGGCCTGCACCTATGTAAGCAACTACAACTACAATGTAAACACCTTTTGTTGTGCATTGTTAATTACAATTGCTGAGCATATTCTAGTTTAGAAAATAAGTTATTAGTTACATGGTTTTCAAAGATACATAGGGTAATATGAAGGGTAAATGACATTTTCAGTGAGCATATTCTAGTTTAGAAAACAAATTATTAATTACATGGTTTAGATAGAGTAATATAAAGGGTAAGTGACATTTTTGGTTAGTTTTAAGACCATCTCCAACCTTCTTGCCATTTCACCAAATCTCCATCATATTTGGCGTGAAACTCCCTCCAACCCTCTCGCCATTTTACCAAAAAAATGGCCCATCTCCATCATATTTGGCGTGAAACCCCATCCAACCTTCTCGCCATTTCACCAATAAAAATGGCCCGCACCATATTTGGCACAACACTATTCACCTTGCACCAAATCTGACTTTTTTTTTTTTTTTTTTTTTTTTGACCCCTCATTTTTTTTTTAATTCCTTTTTTTGTTGTTAACTATAAATTTTATATTATTAAAAATAAATTATATCATTTGAAAGATCTCATCAAGATGATTAAAACAAGTTTAATATTGAACATAGATTAATTAAAAATGAAAACAGATAAAACTTAATTATAACAAAATTAAAGCAAATTACATACTTAATTTAAATCAAACACATAAAGCTTATTTAAAACTACTTTAAACATACTTAAATTCAATAATCTCCTAGGTCAGTATCATTTCCTCCCAAATTATTAAAATATTGAGTAAACTGACTGCTTGATTCTTCTCCTCCAAGTGGTTGCCGAGCTCTCTTTGCATGAATGTGTAATTGTGTATTTCTAAGCCAATCACGCCTTATTGGATCTGTGATGGAATCAACATCTATGCTCATGATTTTGTTATCTTCCTGGAGTTCAGCCAACTGTAGTTGCTTTGCTTCATTTTGAGCTTTTATCATTTGAAGCTCATAATTTTTTTAGAGTTGAGTTTGACTTTAATTTGTTCGAACATTTGTGCGATATTTTCATTATGTTATGTGACTTTGGCAAAATAATCATGACATTCTGTAAACGCTTGCTTCTTCTTCTTCTTTTTTTTTTCCTTGTTACATGTGGTAGGATGTTCATTGTTCAAGCCCTGACTTTCGAAATCATCGTCTAAGTTAAGGCAAAAAGATGATGAACCCATTGACTTATCGCCTTGTGACTCTGAACCTTCAATGTCAGAACTTCGCTTTCGACATACAACACTTGGTTCTCTACCCGAAGGGCCTTTAAATTTCTTCAAGTCTTTAACAATAGGCCATACATGATCAAATTTAAAACCATTTTTAAATTTAGCATCTTGTACAAGTTCCACTCGGATTCAAGTTCTCAACCTGTACAATACATCCTCTGAATTTGGCGACAGCTTTCATTATAGTTTGCATCCGGGACATAATTAACCTCAATGGTCGAGTGCTTCCAACATTTGCTGGTAGCGCTTCATGATAAGCATTCATAATACGAGTCCAAAATACGTCCCCAACTTGATGATGACCCATAATTTGATCTTGGCAAATATCAACATATACATGACAAAGGAGTTTATCTTCTTCAATAGAGTATGAAGTAGTTCGGACTGTGCGTGCCTTGGACATTTTTTAAAAGAGAATGGAGAGGAATATAGAATAGAGACTTCAAAGAGCCAAGAGTTATATGAATAGAGAATTCAAAGAGTTGTGGTTTCTAATTTGGTGGTGTACTATTATATAGAGTGAACGCAAATACCAATTAAGGGCTAAGATGGTTGTGATAAAATCCACGATTGAAAGCAATTGCTTTTGGGATTTGGAAAAGATATCATGTCAGATCTTGAATTGTGTGTTGGAAGTATATGAATATCAATTAAGGGCTAAGATGGTTGTGATAAAATCCTACGGTTGAAAGCAATTGCTTTTGTGATTTGGGAAAGATATCATATCAGATCTTGGATTGTATGTTGGAAGTATATGAATACCAATTAAGGGCTAAGATGGTTGTGATAGAATCCTACAGTTGAAAGCAATTTCTTTTGGGATTTGGGAAAGATATCATGTCAGATCTTGGATTGTGTGTTGGAAGTATATGAATACCAATTAATGACTAAGATGGTTGTGATAGAATCCTACGGTTGAAAGCAATTGCTTTTGGGATTTGGGAAAGATATCATGTCAGATATATAAATACATGGCATACAAACTTATCTGTCACCATAGCAATCCTGAGATATGAATCCCTCACACCCCTTTTCATCCTCACCCTGACACCCATCTTCATCCTCGCAAGAGGATGACGATGATCTCATTGCTACAATACAATTACAACAACAAGCACTACTAAGTACGTATGCTAACAACAATGCTGTCATGGCTTACTGTTCGGAGATTATGTCTACTCAAGCCATCAACCCAAGTCATGGTGGTTCAATTTCCGGGCATAGAGTGATTCACCGTGACCTTGAAGATGGTGATCGAAGATTGGGAGTTTGGGAGTTTAGACTGCATGTACTGGACTTGGAAGATGGTGATCGAAGATTTATGCTAATTATTTTTTTTCAGAAAATCCAAAATATAATGAGGCAATATTTCGTAGACGATTTCGAATAAGTCGAAATTTGTTCTTACGAATTGCCAACGCTGTTGCAGATTACGACAATTACTTTGTGCAACGGAGAAATAAAATCAGTAGATTAGGCTTGTCTACTTTACAAAAAGTAACAACAGCATTTCGAATTTTGGCTTATGGAGTAGCTAGCAGCAGATGCAACAGATGAATACATTCGAATTGGGGAATCAACAGCAATTGAAAGTTTCAAGATATTTTGCAGAGCGGTCGTAGAGGTATTTGGACAACGCTATCTAAGAGCGCCTGATGCTAATGATGTTGTAATGTTGCTTGAAATTGGTGAGAGGCGTGACTTTCCAGGATGCTTGGGAGTTTAGACTGCATGTACTGGACTTGGAAAAACTGTCCAACAGTTTGGATCGGACAATATGCTGGGAGTAGTCGAGAATTGACCAACTATTGTTCTCGAGGCCGTAGCTGATTATGATTTGTGAATTTGACATGCACATTTTGGTTTGCCAAGGTCGAATAATGATATTAATGTGTTGAGGCATCACATTTGTTTGCAAACATTGCAAATGGTAAGGCACCTCCTGCTCATTATGTTATTCAAGGGAAAGTGTACGATATAGGATATTATTTAGCTGATGGGATATATCCGAAATGGTCAACCCTGGTACAAACTATTCATCAGCCTCGAGGACCAAAGAAAAAGTTATTTGCAATGATGCAAGAAGCATGTAGAAAAAGGATGTATGTAGAACGTGCATTTGGGGTCCTTCAATCAAGATTTGCAATAGTCAAGGGACCAGTACGTTTGTGGGATAAACATGTATTGCATGATATAATGACATCATGCATAATATGATAATTGAAGATGAACGTGATGAGCAAGTCGATATACAAAGTTGGAGAGAAGCACAGGCTCCTGAGGTTGATATAAGTAGAGATGAAAGAATTGTCTTTGAAGAGTTTCTTGCTCGACATAGGCAAATCAAAGATAAAGAAGCGCATTATGCGCTTCGTGATGCATTGATCGAGCATATGTGGGAACGATATGGTAATTTTGAAAATTAAATGTAGCGGATGTTCTGTGATTTATTATTGTGGAATAAAATAATATTTGCATTATAATTATATTGTATCATTTTTGGTTTTTATATATTTATATATTTCGTTAAATATTAAACGCAAATTGTATATTATTAAAATAAAATTATATCATTTGAAAGATCTTATCAAAATGATTAAAACAAAACTAATATTAAATATAATTTAATTAAAAATAAAATTACATAAAATATAATTAAAATTTAATTTATTAAATTACAACTATTAGTTTTGTTAAAAGAATAAAAGTATAAATATAAACTTTATGAGGGTGTAGGAACAAAATTTGATGTGGAATTTAGTGTAATGGGTTGTAGATAAAAAAATAAAATTGGTGTAAGAATATGCTGAGAATATTTCTTTTGGTGCAGATGGTTGGAGATGGTCTAAGAGTAGTAAATTTAGTTCCTTAATTACACATTTACTTGGATTTGACTGAATTATGGTTAAATGTGATGGTGAAATGACTTAGGGAGGGAAATCTTCCAAGAGGTCCATAGACAACCTTTGGATATTGATATGCATGGACTGATACAAGGTCCATTTGATATATTCAAATTGTTAATGATGGGTGGTGATGATGAGTCTTCTTTTATATGATCAATGTAGAGATGCAAGGTCATAATCACTTTAAGATTGAGTTCAAAACCTAAGAGATCATCCTACAAATTGGAAGTGGTGTGAGCCAAAAACAAGGGCGGAAGTGCACAATCGTGCACCCCAGGCAGTATGCGGAGCATTTTTATTATTATTATTATTTTTTATAAATATTATTGGATAGTTATTTTTTATAAATATTATTTGTGTAACAACTTTTTGGCAATTTGGACTGAGACTTTCTCTTTCCAAATTATGCTAAATGGTCCCAAAACCATTTCCACTTTTGAATCAAATTACA